AAATGCTTCCTACATATGGAACAACCTTCTTAAGGCAAAACATGAAATTATGGAGGGTTTTAAACCCTAAATTGGTGCGAGATTGGATCAAGAAAGGTCCCCTCTATCAATTCATCCCTTTTGTCAACATTTCAAATATTGAAACATGTATTAGAAGCCTATAAGGTCAAGGGGAGTGGGACTTCTCTAGGCTGACTACTATCATTCCTCTGGATCTAAAACATATGGCCACTGGCATTCAAGTCCCTCATTGCCCTATAGGCACATATACTGTAGCATGGAAAGACTCTATTGAAAGCAAGTATATAACTTGCTTGGGTTACCAGTAGTTGATGAATGAGAAAACAAGAGACTTGACCACACATACAATTCAGAGAGCACCTGAGAAGGTAAGAGTTTTTCTCTAGCAACAAAAAATATTGTTGCCACTTAACCACCTCCCTGGTTGCTCTAGGTGCTCACTCCTAGAGAGAATGTAGCTCATATCCTTCATGGGTGTCCTTTCTCTTATGAACTTTGGGCAGGTGTTGGACTCACAAGTGTCGTTCATCAATATCAAAATTGCATGCAATTTTGGGTTACCAGTGTCATGAAATTGCGTCACCCTTACCTAGCACTAGCCATAATTTGATGAGCTTGGAAATGGAAAAATAATGTCATTTTTGAGTGATAGGTCTAGTCGATTAGTTTTGTGTTGCGACAAATTATGTATAGTGCTTCAGACTTTGCTTTTGGGATACCTCAAATGGAATTTGCTAATGGTTGGCTTCCTCCAAAGAAACACATGGTCAAAGTAAATGTAGATGGGAGCTGGCTACCTTCTATGGATCGGATGTGGGGTGGTGTCATACGAGATAAAGGGAGATAGATACTTGGCTTTACAGCTTACTTTGGAAGCAAATGTGCTTTCCTGGCTGAACTTAAAACTGCAAGAATAGGTCTCCAATTGGCATGGGACAAGAACTACAAGGATATTGTGTCTGAGATGGATTGCTCGAACCTTGCACAAGCATTGGAATCAACAACAGATATTGGAACACATTGGTTCAAGTCTAATATTCAGAAGGTGCTTAACATTAGGGTTATTCTAAGGAGTCCAAATAGTGTAACTGACAACCTAGCTTGCATTGGCTTTGAAGAGAATCTTTCGAAAAAAATTAGAGTAACACACCATCTTTTGTTTTGGGTAGGACGGGAATGGGGCAGGCCGTCTATCGACGGATGGCCTAGCCTATTTAACACTTAACTCGACTTGGCTTGTTTATTAAAAGAGACAGACTTAAACTTTTGAAAAGATCTATTTAAATAAAGAGGTCAGGCTTAAACTTAAAAAAAGACTTTTCAAGCTTATTAGGCTGGCCCAATTAAATAATTATACTATTTTATAATATTTATTTATTTGTAACAATTTAATATAAATATAATTGTCTAAAAAATTTATATATATATATATATATAATATGTAATGTATAACATAGTTTAGTATTTATACTTTAATAATATGATAATTATAATTATACTATTAGAGTGTCAAAATTAAAACTTATTGTAAAAAAAAATTATCAATTAAAACTTTGTCTGATTTCTAAATATCTCAATTTGTTATTAGAATTTATTCTTTCCTAATTATTATTTTAATCTTTTTAATTCAAATATTTTTTAACTTTTTAACTCTCATATAATTCTTTAAAGTCATGACTGTATAAACCTAAAACAAAAGTTGTCGCTGTGCCATTTTCCTTCCTTCATCTTTGTTGTCACCGGCAATTGTTTGTGGTGGTGCCGTCATGTATGCTTTCTTTAAGTCATTTATGTATTTTTATGTCTTTTTAACTAAATATAGTATTTAAATATAATTACTTGTCATTTGTTTTCTATTTTCCTAATAATAGGCTTTTCAGTTTGTTAGCCCATTAGTTACTAGTTTATTGACCTACTAGCTCGTTAAATTTAAATTGTTAGTGTTATTTTAAGGCCTTATTGTTAACTTGGCTAGTAAATAAGCTATTGAGTTAGATTAGGCTTCTAAAAAAGTCAGGCCAAGTCTAAAAATTTGTCCTATGTCAAGTCATAGACCTAGGCTTAAGCTCTAATTTTATGTAATAAGTTAGACCCATTTAACTTCCGGTCTAACTCATTCTCATCCTTAGTTTTGTTCAACCTTAACTTTAGATATTAGCTATTAATTTTTATTTTTTTTACTTTCCCATATAATTGAAAAAAATAATTTATAATTAATTTAGTCTTGATATTTTTAAAAATTAATCGGTTATTCGACTATGTCTCTTAAATAATAAGTTAAATAAGGAAAGTTCAGTTTATCTTACTATTTTATTATTTAAAAAATAATATATATAAAAAAACTTTTAAAAAAATTAATATAGTCAGCTGGAGTCACTGCCTACGCCATTCCTGCAAATAAGAGTGTTTGTATCTACACAACCACATCAAGAGTGTCTGAAAAGCCTCCGAATGAAGCTCCAACCCAAACTCCTTCCTCATGTGGAACAACTCAATTGCTTCTTCTACTTTATGAGCACCCAAAAATCTACGAAAGCAAAGTCACGAAAGCTCTTGGTATAACTCTTGAAAGCGCTTCGCTTTCCCAAGAATGTCGAGGATCTCACTGTAAACACGGGAACTTGGAGGATACCCATTTGTTTTGGAGAGCCAGTTGAAGAACATGTGTGCAACTCTCCAATCAAAACCCGCACTTGTTAAGAGCTTGCTCCACTTGCTCAGGGGGTGTCGCTTTTCCTTTGCCACTGATCACGACGGTGCTCTTCGAATGGGACTTGATCCCTCAGGTGAAGCTTTTGCCTAAATGCAATCACGAGTTTCACCATGATTCCATTAATACGTGGTTCCAAACCCATTCTACTGGGAGGGTGATTTTGTCAAGTTTTTGTGAAAGAGAGTAAAAAGAGTACGTACAATTAGATGAATTAATTATTAATCTTTTAAAATAATATAAATTTTAAAATAATAATAATAATAATAATAATGTCAAACTTCCGTTACTCATTATTTATCAGTGACTAATTTTAAATATTTTTAAAATGTTATAGATTAAATTTTAACAATTTTTTATAAAAATTAATTTTAAAAAGTGTTATTTGAAAAAATATATAATTAAGTTAATAAATAACCATTAAAGTAAATTGTGTATAAATCATATTTAAAAACTTAGTGTAATTAACTCTTAAAAATCAGTTCATTAAGACATGAAAAAAAAACTCCTAACCTAACCGAGTAAAACAGGAAAATATTGTCTAATTCCAACCAATTATTTTTTGTGACATACGGTAAAATTGTTTAACTCACTTACAAAAATAACATCAATAACTTATCACTCACTTTTGAATAACTTGATTTATTTATCGCTTAGTTTAAGTTTCACTTTACTTAAATGAGAACATGTCCTCTTTTGCACGTGTGACTCCAAACCATTGAACATTGCTTCTTATAGTAAAGAATCATAAAGAAAAGAAAATAAGATAGTAAAAAAATTGTCAAAAATTATTCTTTTTCTAAATTTTACAAGAAGGAATAAAATGAAAAATAATTTTTTAATAAAGTTAACTTCTTGTTTTATAAAAAAAAAAAACTTAATTAAAATACTTTTTATAAACTAAGAAACAAAAATTAAAAAAAAAAAAAAGTTAAAAGGTCAAATTAAAACTAAAGGATCAATCTAATAATTTTACCTAAAATACATTAATAAAAGGTAAATTAGCAAGTTTTAATAGTTAATTTAACAAAATGATTGAATTTCTTAATCAATATAATTTCTTTTTACAGAAAATTTAAAAAAAAAAAAACAAGGGAGAAAAAATTGATTGTGTTTGGGGTTTAAAATTTCTACCCCAACACAACTAAGGTTTGACATTTTGAAAATCGAATAAAACTGATGAATGAATCCGAAATAGAAGTTTGTCATAAGACAGAGTCAACCAAATTTTCATTTCCACCTAGACCCTATGCGTGAATAACATAAATATCAATAATAATTTATTTTGTAGAATCCTACAAACATTAGAACCAAAAATATATTTTTTTCTTACAATTATGTAGCATATAAAGCACAAAATTCTGAAAGCAAAATAAAATAGATTGCCAAACTTCAGTCGATAAAATCTTGCTTATTTGATATGTGTAAATAAAGTCTCACATTAATTAGAATCGGTGAAGATAAAAAATGTATAGTAAATCTCTATTAGTATAAGATTTTTGGACAATGTCAAAAAATAAAACCGCAAAATAAAAATATAGTAAAAAGTTCATATTCATACTTGTTATAATAAGTGATATTAAAGCTTGAATCCTCAGGTAGTGCCATGTTCATGTAAATGAAAAGCTTAGATTCAAAGTGGATAATATCATATTAGTCTAAAAAGTTTATACTTATTCTAACATAATCAAATTGGATTTTAGACATCTTATTGCAAAAAGAAAAATTAATTATTTTTATTAAAAAAAAAGTAGTTTCATAACTTAATAAACTCTAAACTCACTCTAAATAAGTTTTTATAAAAAAAATTAATATAAAAAAAAACAAAATTCCTCTTATAAATTAGAATCATTTTATCTCTTCAAATTTTATAGAAATTAAACAAGACATAAGTTATTTCTAACTTACAAAAGAATTTTTATTTATTTTCTATACCAATTTTTTTCTTATAAAGATTTTTTAGAAATTTATTCAAATTGTGACTTAATATAAAAAAATAAATAAAACCTTTTTTACAAGTTATGATTTTTTTTTTAGAAGTTCTTTTTTTCTAATTTTTCTAAAATTTAAAAAGATAAGTTATTTCTACCTTATAATAACAATTTATTTTATTTTTTATACTGATTTTATTTTATATAAAAGTTTCTTTAAAAGTTTATACAAACTGGACTTTAATTTAGCAAGATGGCAGGGTGACTACTAAAAAAAAGCAAGATAGCGGGGCCATATTGTAAAATAGTTCTTAGAAATACCAAGGTGAAGCTTTTCACTACCCTTCACTTGGACCCTGATCAAGAGTCATGACCCTTGGAATTGCAGAGAGAGGGAGGCCCTTGTCCATGTGAAGTGTAAACATGACCCTATAAGTCACATTTTGTGTTCCATTTGCCAGTTTAAGCTTGAAGAAACGAATAACAGCCATTGCTACTATTTTCATCTGTCTGTATGCAAAGTCCTTCCCTAAGCAGATACGGGGTCCAGCCTGCAATGTCACATTAATTGAAGTTCATTTCTATATCACATCAAGAATGTAAATTAATTTAAGGAAAATGTTAAAAAGTACTCTTCTCGTATTCATTAAGGAATTAAAACTAATTTTTTAAATTAGAAATTATTGCTAGAATAGCCTTCTAATAAAAAAAGTTGTTAATATGTATTTCGAAAGTTTACAGTAACAAATAATAAATTATACTAACATTTGATAAACTGATAGTATATATTAATATTTTTACTAACCAAATTAATTGGTATAATATATCATATTGTTAGTATAAATTATTAATAACAATATACATTTTTGTTAGACAAAGACTATCAACAAAAGTTATCCTAACACTTAATAATTTTTGCCTGTTAGTAAATGACATTTTTTTGGTATTGAATGTACTTCTAAGATGATTTTCAATATAACTCAGCATGATTTTCAATAAATTGAATTAGTAATTAGTGTCTTTAGGACAATAAAGGTACAGACATGGAAAGCTACGAATTTGAATGGAGATTCGGGTTGGAAAATTCCATTGTTGAGCCATCTTTCAGGACGAAACTCCTCAGCATCTTCACCCCAAATGGAAGACATTCGACCCATACTATAGCCCAAGTAGTACACTCCATCCCCCTTCTTCAGTTTGTGGCCATCAGGAAGAATATCAGGTGCCTCTGCTGTTCTTCCATCCTTGAATTTGAATCATACCAAAGACAAGATTATCAGAATTCAAATATGATATCGAGTAATTTATTTTATGCTGTTGCATTCTAACATGGCTGGTTTATATTGTAGTCAATTGAAATGAAAGCCATATAAAACTTTTTCCTTTACAGCTGAATCATATAAATGGTTATTTATCATGAACCTATTATTTCAAAATCTATTAGGGTAAGAAGACACATGAATTGGTTTTATCTCTAATATGCTCCCTCACATAAGGGCCTTATGGGCTTGAATCTAGTGCGAATAATATACATGCCTATATTTCCTTATGCTAAATTTCAACCTTATATTAGAAGATTGTGCACAATAAGAGGATCAAACTCTAGAGTAATTGGTTATAGAGACTTTGATACCGTGTCAAGAAAAGCTTAAGGTATTAGGTAAAGACACATGAAGGATTGAGTTAATTATAAATGTTAATTAGAAATGTATGCATGCAAATACACACACACATATATTTGAAGAAGTGACCAAACTGGGACGATTGAGTTAGCTTAGTAGCCAAAACAAGAATCAAATTAGATTGTACAACTATCATAGGCACAATTTGGATAAAATTCTGTAGAGAAAGGAATAGATAATTCATGATGCTTTTGAGAAAATTTTATAGAAGGTACCAGAGGAACTGCAGGGTAAAGTCTCAAGGTCTCTGTCAATGCTGCATGAAGATAATGCATTTTATCAAGGGTATCATCTGTTAGATTGGCGACAAATTCATCTATGTTTATTTCACTTTCATGACTACAAGTGACATCTCTCACTTCCTGTGCAATCTTTTCTTCTATAAGAGGGTTCTTGCAAAGCATGTAGAAGAACCATGAAAGAGTGTTTGCACTCGTGTCTTTGCCAGCTATCATGAAGTTGAGAATTATGTCCCTCAAATACTGATCAGTCATAGTTGCTTGATCCTTCTTGCTCTCAATCAAAAACCTTGATAGTATGTCCTCTTTGACATTCTGAAAATCAAACAAACCTTCGAATGTCATCCAAAACATATTTAACCCACCCAATTTTTATTTACATATATTATGTTTCCAAATGAAATAGAAACGATATTGAGGGAGTAACAGGAGTAAGTGATCAACTCACAGATTCTTGCTGAACTGCCAATTGCGCTTTTCTGTTCTTAATTATTCCGTGGACAAAATCATCTATTATTTTCACATTTCTTTTAAGGGTAGATTCACAACCAATGTTAAGAAACCTCTTGATCCTCCAGAATGGATCAACATAGCGCCAATAAATCAAAGCATTTGATTCATCAAAGACCTTGATGAATTCACTTCCCTCTTTGCTTGATCCCTCTAAGCAATTCAACTCCGTTCCAAAACCAACTTTGAATATGGAGTCCAAAGTGCATCTCATTAGTATGTCCTAGAAAGGAAAAAAAAAATTGTATATATATCATGCTCTATAAGATTATATGATGTAGCATCTGAAAAGAAAAATGTAAAAAGTAACACCTACTTCTGACCTATACAACGTAACACCTCCTTCAATCAATATATTTTGTAGTTAACTTTTCTTCATTATTGAAAGACTAAGCTGTGAAATACCAATCTTTAAATTGAAGATTGCATGCAAACAAAACCTTGATTAAAACAAGGTAAGAAATAGGAAAATGTTTAGATTATGAGAATAATTAAAGCCATCTCAACAACTTAACATAGGCCATGTCGAAGTATATAACTCAATTAACCACTTTACTAAGTTATTGTCACATAACAGCTTATTATATGTTTGATGGTAAAACTTATTGAAATAAGTTAAAATAGTTCATATAAATGTCTTAGGTTGCCTGGGAAGAAGGGTTTTGGAGAGGAGGAAACCATAAGATAAATTTTGTATTTAAATATATTTAAAATTAATATATTAACATAAATTTAATATATTTATCATCATAAATAATATATAATTTTTTTAATTTAAAATTAAATAAAATATGTTCTCTCCTCCGTAAAAAAAATAAGCTCCATAGAAACTCTTTCAAACACCCCCTTAAACCAAAATTCTAATCTTTCAAGACTCACGCTAACTTTGAGGAAAATATTACCACTTACTTGCATATCAAAAACCTGATCCTCATGGGAAAATTCTGAGATAACTCTGACCAACTTGGCAGCATTCCTTCTAAAAACAGAACAACTGAAATCTCTAAGAACTCTTGTGGAGAATTCATAGCTTGCGAGCTTTCTTTGCTGCCTCCACTTGTCACCATCAACAACAAAAATCCCTTCACCAAAAAGATCAGAAATTATATCTTGGGTATACTTGCCTTTGGAATACTTATCAAAGTTGGTTTTCAATATATGTTCAACATTTCGTGGGTCTATGGTGTACAATTCGCTTTGATCAGGAGTCAGAAGCCTTAAAGTTGGATGAGTTTTGGCCATTTCAGTATGATAATCATGGAGGGTGTTGAAGTAGAATAGCTGGTTAAACACTGTGCCTTTTACAGGTGCATAATCTGAATCCCCTATTGATTTTCCCATGATCATGTTCAGCATGATGAAACACAAGGCTAGGAAGATACCCAGAAAAGAGAAGGCTATGAAAGTCAACAAGGTGTACAAAAAATCCATTTTTTTTTTTCAGTGTTGTTTTTCTTCAGAGGTTGTGATCAAAGAAAAGGTGGATTGCAAAGCTCCGATAAGTAAAAATGTTGTAGACAAAATGAATGACCTCTTATGACAGGTCAGCGCAGAATTTCCTATATTTATGTTTCAACCTTTTATGTTGCAAAGCTCTCCAATATTTGTGTTGGTTCATTGGGTTTTAGTAGTTTTTATAACACAAGTTCAATATAGCAGTGGAAAACTAAAATGGCTTTTTCTTCTTTTACCTCTAAAAGAGAATGCTTTTGAATTTTCTAACTTAAAATGTTGATAGTTTGCAAATCAAATACTCCTTCCCTTTTTTTTTTTCATAAGAATTTTAAGAGATTTTTATTGGTTCTTAAAATATTTTTTATAAAATATTAAGAGTATTTATTTAATTTATTGATATATTTTCCCGTCAGTGTCAAAATTTTCAATCTTCTTAACAATTAATATAAGAATAATGTTAACTTCAGCTATTAAAAATAAGTTTAAACATCTAAAAGAATTTATATATATATATATATATATATATATATATATATATATCATATTTTATGACTTTAAATAAATAAATGAGTTTTGTCTGATAAAATATTCTTATTTTGAGTGCTTAAACTCAATTCAAAAAGATTAAGATTAAAAAAACTCTAAATATAATAATAAAGTTTAACTTTAACTTAGAGTAAACTTAAAATGTTTTAATGAATTTTTTTAAAATTAATATATTAACTATTTTCAATAAAAAAAAAATTTTGTGATCCAGTTTAATTTTTTTCAAAAAAACTATGAAACACCAATAAATCATGATTTAAAATTAAATGAAGCAGTAAATTATACTTTATTAGTTTGGTCGTAAAAGGCATATGATCTCATTTTATTTCTATAATTTATGAAGATGTGGATTAAGTTTAAACTGGTCCAAATAAAAAATAGACAATTTTTTTATTGGAAAGTTTTACTACCTTTTAAATTATTAGAGTTTTTTTTAAGAAATAAGAAAAATAGAAAGAAAAATAAAAAATATGTAAATTATCTAGAACTAAAACTATAAAAATTATATTAAAAAATTATCTAGAGAGAGTGAAACATGTCTTTAGATAAAAGTATCAAATAATTTAATTTATAGCTACTAATTAACCTCATAAATAAATAACATATGAGTACATGAAATCAATTTTACATTAGAGAATGAATATTTTACAAAATAGATTACATTTCAAAAGAAATCAAACTTGAGTTATTCAAAATATCATGTAATAACTTCTTAATAAAATTTAATGTAGTCAAATAATTAGATTTTGTATGAAAATATTTTAAATTCCTAAATACTTTTCTTATCTTACAAAATGAAACATTTCCTCTGTTATTTAGGTTCCCTTTCGTGGTTTACACACTCATTGGATTGTTTGAGCACAAACTATTGGATGCTGAAAAAATCATGTTAAGATAGATGAAAATTATTATAGATCTAATTTTTAAAAGATTATTGATTTATTTGATGTGTTGAAAGGAAGAGATTATATCTCATTTCGAGATAAATTTTTTTTGTTAAACTCCACATATTTATATATGACTTATATTTATTTTAAAACAATGCTTATTAGTAAAAGAAATTGTATACAAAAGTTATAAAATAAATTGCTCTTGGATGTGATGGAAGCCATGTTATGTCGAATTTTTTTTGTATCATTCTTTGCTACAACAACAGATTTTTCTCAAAATTTTATAGCATGCCATAAAAGGATAACACTGTGATGCAATGCAAGCCATCAAATTCAAAATTCAAATGATTTTAAGCAGCCTTAACATGAATTTACTAGTTAACTTGTATTATTGCATTAATTTACACTGTAATATTTTTACATTAATTTATTAATTTATTTAAAGATTTTAAACCTACTAACTTCATATAAATTTAGATCTTTTAATTTAATTAAAGATATTTTTCTAATTTATTTAAGAGATTACTGCATTAACCTATCTACACAAAAGGTGTATTTGTATTTGGGTAAATAAATTTTCAGTTGAACTTAAAAAAAGTGAAGTTAGGCCATAATAAGAAAAAAGTAGCTCACGTTAATTGAAAATAACATTTTTTTTGTTTTATTTTTTATAATTACAAATATACTAATTTTATTTTATTATTTTTACACAAAATTTTAAAATAATAGAAGAAGTATTTTTATAATTAAAATGTCTAAGCGCTCGCTGTAGCAAAGGAAGCGGTTTGAACTTGAGCGGCTTCGAACAAATTCAAATTCTCATAACAATCATCTTTCGTCTCTGAACTGAAAATGAACGAAAACCCCAAACGACAATGGTCCCTCAACGACTTCGAGATAGGCAAGCCTCTCGGCAAGGGCAAATTCGGTAGAGCCTATGTAGCCAGAGAAATCAAGGTACCACAAATTTCATATTTACTTGGTTGAATTATATATATGTTTTCAATTACTTGAAATTTTCAAATGTTCATTGGTACTGAATTGTTTTTTTTTTTTAATTAATTAAATTTATTTTGGGTGATGGGGTATAGAGCAAATTTGTGGTTGCATTGAAGATTATTTATAAGGAACAAGTTAAGAAGTACAAGATTCGTCATCAATTAAAGAGGGAAATGGAGATTCAGATGGGTCTTAAGCACCCCAACATTCTGCGTCTCTATGGTTGGTTTCATGATTCTGAGCGTGTTGTCTTAATTCTTGAATATGCTCACAATGGTGAGCTTTACACGGAGCTTAGTAAAAGAGGTCGTTTTACTGAGAACCAAGCTGCCACGGTAATCCTTTCTTGCTCTCATTTGTGTCTCTGTATGCCTCTTTCAATAATTATTCTTAGAAGCACTTTTTGAGCTTATTCGTGTAAGTTTTATGATCTAATTTACGACGTAAGCTTTCATGTGATAGGAGATTAACTAAGTTGAATAAGTATTTAATTAAATTGTTTACCCAGATGCGTGCTTAACCATTTGGTGGACAGGATAAGATAGAATAAGAGAACATGATAATTTTGTCTATCGTATCGTATTTGCAATATTTATTTGACCAATAGTATATGACCTAAGTTTATTTTATCCATCTCTTTAGTATAAATTTTATTCTATGGGAGGTCTAAGTTAGAAATTGATAGGATAACATAATGCTATCTAATTTGTTATCCCCATGTGCATCAAATGTACCATGAGATGAGAGTCTATGTAACTTTTGCATTATATTCATATCAAGTCCACTAAACAGACTCATGTCATAAGGCTGGTTTCTTGACTCGGTTTTAACTAGAGTTGTGTGACTTGCAAGGTTGTGAAGGTTGTCTATACCGTGTAACCTTTTCCTTGCTACATGATGCCCTTCCTGAATCCTGTGCCATTCTAACAAACTGTTATCATCACTTTGATCTGGCCTTCTGTTGGAGGAAGCCTAACTGCCAGTGTCTTTGAAATCTTGTTAAAATTGTCATAGATTTACGTTTACTTTAATATTAGTAATCGTAGCTTATGTTTAGATCTAACTTTACTGATTTCTCTGTGTTTCCTAACACCCACGGTGTTTTAGTTGTTGTAGGATGTACTTTTTCATTGGTCCTAGGCATTGTGCTAGATTATTGGGTTTTGAATTTTGAGAAAAGCTGAGAAAGAACTAAAAGAAGCTGTAGTTTATTTGTGTGAAAATTGATTAAATAGCTGAAGAGAGAGATTGAATAGGCAAACAGAACAGAACTACTGCAACAACAACCAAGCTTTATTCCAATAGATGAGATCAGTTACAAGATCACATGATGCCAAAAATCTGATTAATTAAAAAGTCTCTTTCAATAACTCTGTCTAAAGTTCTTTGGGATCTCCCTTGACTTCTTTTTACTGAACTAAGTCTAAAAGTTATGCAATATACTCTCTTTACTGGAGGCTACAAAGGTCTTCTTTACATATGGTCAAACTACGTTAGACAATTCCAATATTCTTCCGTATATTATTATTTCTTATCATATCCTCTCTTGTGTGACCATTTATCTACCTTAATATTTTTGTTTGTGTCACTCTCACTTTTTTTCATGCTGTTCTTTTAAAGTATAACATTGATGATCATATAGAATAGTTGGTCATATGACTCGTATTGTAATACAGTAAAACATTTCTTTTTAATATAGATACTTTATGATCACAAATAACTTATAATATTTTTCTCCACTTTAACTGCTCAACTTATATTCTATGAGTAGCATCTTTATTATTTTCTCTATCATTATGTATAATCGATCTCAAGTACTTGAGTCTAGAAGCTTGTGATGTAATATCATCTTCAATTTTAACTTCTAATACATGATCCTTATCTTGTATTTTTGCTATACTTATAATACATATACTTTGTCTTACTTTTACTCGAGCGAAAATTTTTAGATTTTAAAGTCTCTCTACATTCCTCAAGTTTAACATTAACTTCTTTCAAATCTTCAACCAACACTATATCATTCGGAAAGAGCATGTACTTAAGAATAATATTTTGTATGTCACTTATAAACATATTTAAGACTAGATTAAACAAGTAAAGACTCAAAGTAGAACTTAAATGTAAGCATATCTCTATTGAAAAGTCCTGAGATAGTCTTCAGAAGTTCTCACACATATAATTATTCCTTCATACATGTTTTGTATAGTTCGAATATATACTACACAGACCTTTTTCTTTTCTAAAGTCTTGCATAATACTTTCTTTTATACTCAATCATATATTTTTTTTAAATCAATAAAAATCATATGTAATTCATTTTCTTTATAATGATATTTTTTCATCATCTTTCGTAAAAGATATATAGTTTTTGTTGTAAATTTTCTTAACATAAAATTAAATTATTTTTTTGCAATCTCAGTTTCTGTGAAATATGGAACTACAAAAAAATTGAGTGAAAATGCATTAGAAATTCAAAAAAATATATTAAAATATTCTATGTACGGTTTATGTTATATGCTGTGCTTATCATATTTGTTTTAAGCAAGTTTTTTGTAGTTCTGTACTATGTTGACTCTTAACTTTTGTTGATTTGAAAATTTTAGTATATTCTCAGCCTCACAAAGGCATTGGCATATTGTCATGAGAAGCATGTTATTCACAGGGATATCAAGCCTGAAAATTTGCTGCTTGACCATGAGGTATGCTTTCTCTTCTTTTACCTTCCTTTTCCCTATGCTAACAAATAACAATGTGTCAACTTATGGCAACATGTCCCATAGAAATTCAGTTACATGCATAATATTAAGCATAAAACATTTTGCAGTTCAAATGTTCAATTCAGTCCCTTTGGTCCCACCCTCGATCTCCTCCAGGTTGTTTTTTGAAAAATCTACTCTCCTGCCATACTAGTTGTCATTTATTTATTTTTCTTCTCTAATCCCTTTACTGGAATGAAAGCAATCTTACACTGAGAACGCTGCTTATTATAAATATGTGAATGATCATCATTGGGTAACTGTATGGAACCATCTATATTTGAGCTTCAAGGGAACTTGTACAGTTAGTTTGACGATGGTTTGGTTTCAGGGTCGTCTTAAGATTGCAGACTTCGGTTGGTCTGTACAGTCTAGAAGCAAAAGACATACCATGTGCGGAACCTTGGATTATTTAGCACCTGAAATGATAGAAGACAAAGGTCATAATTATACAGTTGATAATTGGACTCTGGGTATCCTTTGCTATGAGTTCCTTTATGGTGCTCCTCCATTTGAGGCTGAGAGTCAAGCTGACACCTTCAGAAGGTATAGAAGTGCATGAGACTTGTATTTACTGTCTAGTTTATCATAAATAAATGTCACTTTTGCAATGTATATGTAATGTATTTAAATTTGTACAGGATAATAAAGGTTGACCTAAGCTTCCCTACTACCCCTTACGTTTCTTCCGATGCCAAAAATCTTATTAGCCGGGTATGTTCGTATCACATATTCATATTCAGGCAAAAGCACATCCTTTCAGTGAACTAGTTTAGTTATTCTTCCTAATTCAATCTGTAAATTGTTGTAGCTCCTGGTAAAAGACTCCTCACATAGGCTCTCACTTCAGAAGATAACGGAGCATCCTTGGATAATCAAGAATGCAAATCCTATTGGTGTCTGCAAGTAGTATCAACTTTTAGTCAATCATGTTTATCTGAAGCATAGAGGGATTAAGGCTGAATTCTACATCTGATATTGTTGTGTGATAGCATATTTATATGCTTTTCAGAGTTCAAGTCTATTATTATCAACTTGAACGATACCGTGCATTGCTGTGGGAATTAGGAAGGTTAAAACAGAGAAATTTGCGTGTCTATCCTATGCAGAAATTGGAAGTGGCTTTTAAGAATTCACCGTTGTGGTGTCTATTTTGTGTACAGAATACGCTTTTTGTCCATTCAGGGTTTCAAAACTAGATTCATGTCTCATTCTATATGTATAAAAAGATATGAACAGTTTCATGAGCAAGTTTGAATTGGTTTTTCCCCCGTTTTCTCTTGGGGTGTTAGGAGATTGGCAATTTTGACATAATAACACTAGTTTTTGAGACTGGGAAGGAACGAAATGCCTGTATCAAGAGTAAAATTTCAGTACTCCTATACTCTTTCGTTGTTACTTTTCTTTATTTAGTATTTTTATTTTATTTTTAAAATATATTAAATTAGAAAAAAGAAGACCATATAAAAGTAAATATTACTATTTTAAAGAAAGTAAATACTTCAACAATTTTCATAGGCCAACTTTTGTTAATATTTTATATATTTATGGTGCAATATATTCTTTTTCCTGAGGAATTGTTTCATTCTTCTTTCTTACCTAATTTGTATATGTATATTTTTTCTTTATTTTTAAATAATAATTATTTTTAATGCAACTAAATAAGAATATTATTATTATTGTTATTTTACTTATAAATCAATTAATTTAAATTATAATATGAAAAATATACATAATTTTATTATGTCATTTAAAATAAATAAAATATCTATGCATTGCACAAATACTTTCTTAGTAGTGAAAAATTAAAGATAGTTTTTGTTTTTTGTTTTTTGTTTTTTGTTTTTTGTTTTTTGTTTTTTTAATTATAAAACTATTATTTTTAATTTCATGCTTTTAAATTCCTGCATCATTTTAAGATTTTGTTAGTGAGTATTATAGTAGTATTGATTAAAGAGAAGTAAATATATTTTGTTAAAGATTTTTAATCACTTAAAAATTAAGTATTAAAGGGCTTATTTATTTAATCATTATTTTAGGACATTTTTTAACAATTATTTTATTTTGATTATTATTTTCAATAGGTCCAAAATCTTTTCAATCAAGTGAGACATGCGTACCTGATGTAAATTTATTTATTAGTGAGATGATTAGGTTGTATACAAATGTTATATTATGAAAACAAAAAATATTATTGTCAGGTTATATTTATTATGATAATATCTTATTCCGAGATATTAATCTCCATATGTAACTGAAAAGATATTATAAATTTACATTAAAAAATTATATTAATGTGTTTATTGAATTCTCTGTTTAGGATCATTCGATTTTAGATTAAAATTAATTTCATATATCATGATATACATTTTAATATAAAATTTAAGGTTCAAATTTAGGTATACATTATATTTTTCAAAATGAATCATATCAAAATAAATTTTCATAATATAAAATTAATATATTAAAAATTTAAACTAAATTAATGAATTGAATAATGTCATAAAAACACTGAATTAGAGTTTTTTCCTCCCTCAAAATCGAATGACTAAAATGCCCTTGATTGTCTTGTCCAATGTCCACTCCATGAATTCATAATGCACTTTACACATTTCCGCCACTCCTCACCTCACTCACAATCAGTGCCCTAACCGCCATCTTCTCTCTTACCCACAACGACGACAAATTAGTGCAATTCAAGGTAAAGGATTCTCCATTTTTCAATTTTGTTATTACATTTCAAATCCCATTTTCCTAAAGTTTAAGTTTTTCCGTTTCCCCTTTTTCTGGGTGATTTTCTTTCATTTTCTCGGTAACCAAACAGAACGAGACTGATAAATTTGGCGTTCCCCTTTTCAGCTGAGGGATTGAATTGAACATGGCGAGTTCTGTAGATGCTGCAGGAAACCCGATCCCAACATCAGCGGTGTTAATGGCATCGTCGAAGCACATTGGGATAAGGTGCCACTCAGAGAACTTGGAGTTTCTCAAATGCAAGAAGAAGGATCAAAACCCTGAAAAGTGTCTCGATAAAGGCCGTGAAGTTACCCGTTGTGTCCTTGGCCTGTGAGTTTTTTTGTTTTTTTTCATGAAAAAAAATGTTAGCTTGCTGATTTTTCTTGAGGTTTTTATTTTTTTTTATCTGAGAAAATGCTTGAGGAGAAAATTGAAATTAATTAATTAGTTTTTTTAAAATGATATCCAATATGTTTTTTGGGTCTATGTGAGCACTGAATCAATGCCACTGCCTTATTTATGTTATCTCATCAATAAGCTACAATAGGTTGTAAATGTCAATGTATTGTAATTTTTGAGCAGACGAAATTATGCTACATGGATACTTGCACACCCATTTCTGTATTACAAAATAAAACAATTCCCTCTGCAAGTGGTTGGATGATTGGTTTGTGTATATCATGAGCTGTAGGGCCTGTAGGCAAAGGTGTGTGTTATTTATTTATTTTGTAAAGATGTTGAGTGTGCTAGTAGCATTGCTTAAATGACATTCAATATCTTTTATTCTTTTGTTTATTGGCCTACATTTTACCACTATTACATGAAGAATCAAATTCAGTACTCATGGACTGGCTTTTTTGATAACCCTAATTGTTTGTATTTGTCAGCTGATCTTCTGTTATGTTTTGTGTACTTTGGACTACTTATTGAAATTGCTGGTTGTGGGTAGTTGAACCATAATTCAGTGAGCATACAATTCTTTGAAAAATGCTAGATTGGCAGAACTATCTTATGTGGGAATTTCTGCGAAATGATTTGGCACTTGTTGACTCATGGATGGGTAAATGGTCCCTACCACGATATACAAGCAGCAATTATATTAGAATCTAGCTGAATTATGTAAAAAATTGTGGCTTCTTTTTTTTTCTAGTTAGCATTACCCCTATTTTTTTCTTTCAATACTAACTAGGTTCAATGACCTTGCTGACAGAAGTTGGGAAAATTGAATCTTAAGTGTATCTCAATCTTTTCTTAGAGACAAATTTTTATGGCACTCAAGTGTCTGTTTGCAATTGTGGTGGCTGAAATTTCTTCCAGTTTATTGTTGAGTGCAAATGACCTATTTTCAACAGATTGAGTTTGACATGATTTTAGTCTGAGTCTGAGATTCAATATGTTGGCAATAATGTGTTTTGTCAAAGGGAATTGATATGAATTTTTCTATTCATGATGGAGCTTGGGTTCTAATTTTAATTGAGTTGATTCAAAGGACACTGCATTTGTAAAACCGAAAGTGATTTAGTACAATAATGTGTTTTGTATTATCGTCATTTTAATAATTTCATTATTATTCCAAAGTAGGAAAAAATTGACTTATTTACCTTGTAAGTTCCTTTAAATTATGGGACCAAGGGGCAGATTGGTGAAGACTCAACTTCTCATCTTTATGCAGTTCCAATTTATCTTGTTTCTGAAAAATGTGTTTAACAATAAATCTGTGTTTTACAAATAAAGAAACAAAAATGTGTCCATAACGATGGACTGCAGAACTGATATATAGTTACAGTCATTCATATATCGTTTCCCATTTGGCCAATGGCTATAAAGAAATGTCATATACCTTCCATTCTTTTTTTTTTCTTGTGTTACTCGATAAATGAATCTATAGAATGGTGATATTTCAGTTAATATTAGAGTTAGAAACAAATGATATGTGGCTTTTTGCTTCATGATGCTGTGTCAGTATTGGAACTTAGAAGTTGTGTTGCTTATTTGGACAGTCTTGTTATTTATTTACGATGAAAGTCTATATGTTTCAAACTCGTGTTGTTGTTGGTTCCCACCTGCTGCTCGCAGATGGCATTCTCTTGCTTTCAGATATTGAAGGTTGCATACTCACTGAAAATTTTATTTGATGATTTCTCATTTGTGGTCGAGAAGAAACATTTGGGGTCATTATTACTGCTCATGCTCAATGCATTCTCTGTTACAAATAATTTAATTTCTTCATATTTCACAATAGTACTTGTGTGCACAAAGATACACACTTATTTCATTCGTTTCTGTTAAACCTTTGTTTTTAGATACATATAATTGTCTGGTGCATTTATATTACACATTATGGGTTTTTTCCTTAAGGGGTTGTTTGGGAAGGGGAGTGGGGTTGGAGGGAATGGGAGGGTAGGACAAAATTTCTATTTTAAATAATTATATTTCAAATTAATATTTTTTAAAGTAAAAGATATAAAATGATAGATTAACATAAACTAAATGTATCAATCATGCATTATTCATCATAAATGGTATATAATTCTCTTAAATTTAAAATTAAATAATATGCCGTTCCCTCTCCCAAGCAATGCCTAAGGGTTTCTGAATGATGTTGATTAAATTTTGTTCTGCAGTCTGAAGGATCTTCACCAAAAGTGCACAAAGGAGATGGATGATTATGTTGGTTGCATGTACTACCACACAAATGAATTTGACTTGTGTCGCAAAGAGCAGCAAGCATTTGAGCAAAAATGTTCTTTGGAATGAAATTACATAATGCTGTTGTCAAAAATAATACCACAGGCAATTTGGAGTGAGCAAATGCACATGTTTCAAAAAATTCGTTGATACTTTTTGTTTGTATGACAGCCTTGGAATCTTTACCATTGACTATGTTGATCCTCTAAATTTTTCTAGAGAAAAACATCCAAGCAGGACAAAACAATTCCTCTTCAACCATAATAACTGCTAAGAAATATTGAAGTTGGAACATGCTTGTAATTTGTTTATGTTCGAAATGCATATTTCTTGTGCTTTATAAAAAAAAATTTGAGGATACTTGCCAAACTGCATCCATTTCTGGTGCCTTTTAGTTCTTGCCATCTAAATTAAGGATATGTTTGGTGAACAAAATAAAATAGCAGATATGATATATTTTCTTATCATATTTTATTCCCAAGGTATGTTGAGCCCATAGGATATGATATATATTAGCAAAAAATAAAAATAAAATATAGGATATGATATATTTTCCTATCCTAACGTTTGATATATTCTATGTTTTAACATGGTTTTCTTGGTTGAAACCTGTAGGCTAATTGAGGGGAAAACATTAATTGAAATCTATTGCAAACTCTCACTAGTTTCGTTAAGACATTTTTCTGTTTGTGCATAGAACAAGAATAATATCAAGGCATAGGTCTTAGCTTGTTATTGTAACAATCATGAATCAGCAGAATGAACATTGATACAAACAATGACGTGAATAAACAATGTGATATTGGGACAATATATAGGGAATGATAAATGAAGTTTTTAACTATGAAGAGAGAATTTGCAATAAGATGGAGTGTTTTTAAAAGGAAAAAAAATGATGTTGTTATGCATTAAAAGTATATCTCAATCATTATTTATCGAGTAATTACTTTTTAAAAAATATAATTAATGACTAAGAGTAGATTTTGTTATTTAAATTGAAGATTGTACTCATGTTACCCAAAGGCTGGCTTTAATTTTATAATTTTACAGATTAAATATTAAATTCATCGATAGTTATAATTTAAGGAGCTAATGATGCAATGCAGTATTCATTCTGGAAGTAATGTTTGTTACCCTCATTATCTATTGTCACTAATTTTGAATGGATATCCCCGCATGACAGAAAAAAACCTTATATACTCTAAAGTTTAATTATAGTAATTAGCAAAAAAATAAAAAATAAAAATTATAGTATGTTACAAGTGTTGTGCGTAATTGAAATATTTCAATAAATAGTAATTGAAGAATAAGATAAAAAGAAGACAAGTAAATTAATTTTTTTTATAACTTGAAATTATTTTTTAATCTTATTCAAATTATTTAACAATCAAGACATTTAATTTGTGTTTTAATTTATAAAAGTTTATATTCTTTTCTATTAAACCTGGAAAAAACAAATGGTAAAAAGGCCAACAACGGTGTCGTGGTGTAGTTGGTTATCACGTCAGTCTAACACACTGAAGGTCTCCGGTTCGAGTCCGGGCGACGCCAACATCTTTACCCTTTTTTATTTTCAAGTTTTATACTAAAATTAAGCTCACGGTACTCACTGAACAATAAATGTCATAATAATATATTAGAAAATAGTATTTTTTTATTTTAAATATAGAAATTTATTATTTTTATATGCTTAAATTCAGTCTTAAAAAATGAAGTTGGCGAGATCCCATTTTTATACCTTGATGAGGAAATATATATGATCATTAATATAAATGCTCAAGAGATTTTCTATTATAAACAATGCAATTTCTTCATGATATAATAGTACGTGCAACGAGCACAGTGAAGATGGACATGTAAACAAGAACTACATTAAATATTATAAAATAATTAACAGTAAATTGATATAAAAAATTAATACAAATAATCACTGCATGACGCATCTGAACGCTTAAAATGTATTCAAATAAGATATTTTAAGTAAGTAATTTATATTTTACAAAAATTTACAACTTTATAAATTAAAATTTATTGTTTGAATATTGAATTTTAAATAATTTAAATTTCTAAAAAATTTAGTAGAAATTTTTAACAGACTAAAATTAAAGAATTCTAAATTTTAATAAAAGAGTGAGAATTTGAAATATTTTTTATATATTTAATTATGGTTAATTTAATAATTTAAATTTTATATCTTAATTAATTTTGTTAAATATAGTTGATCTCTGGTAAGAAAAAAAGGGCTTAGAGTATGTTTGTTTTCTTTTTTAAAAAGAATTTTCTATTTTTAAAAATAAAATATAATGTAAACTTGTACTATATTTTATTTTTAAAAACAGAAAATCCTTTTTAAAAAAGGAAGCAAATATACTTTTAAACTTTTTTATTGTAGAATTTTTAGTATAGTTACTCATAAGTATTTATGACCATTTTTCGTTAGCTAATGCTTTCTCTATTACTCATTTTTTGATAGTGGCGATTAACTATTTGTTTTGTAGTGTAAAGGATATATACTCCAAAAGTGCACAAAGCAAAAGGATGATTATGTTGGTTGCATGTAATTTCATAAGCACTGTTTTTCTTTACAAAATATTTTAATTTGAAGTTAATTATATTTATAAAATATTTTAATTTAAATCAACACTGGATAAAATCTTTATTTTTTATTTTACACATTTTCTCATTCTAAAGATGACAAATCCCTGCCACATAGACAAGTGAATTTGGCCTCTAGCAAAGAGCATAAAATATTTAACCAAAAATAGTACGAAAATTTGAAACTGAAATATGGTTGTAATTTGATTTAGATAAAATTAATGACTTATATATATATATATATATATATATATATATATTTAAGTATTTATAATTTAATGAATTTTTAGTTTTAGTTTCTTCAAACGATTCTTTTAAATTTTGTTTTTTAGTTATTAAACGTAAATATATTATTATAATAAATAATAGAAATTCAAAAGCTGTAGTTCATGTCATGCAATAATGGCGTCGCCCGGACTCGAATCGGAGACCTTCAGTGTGTTAGACTGACGTGATAACCAACTACACCACGACACCGTTGATGACATCTGTTTTTCTTGAATAAATATATAATTAAAATTTATATTTAAATTAATATTAAGGATAAATGGAATTTTTAAAAATAAATAGTCATTGTCAACTATTGCATATTTTATTTGTCCTAGAAAAGGACAACAGACCCAATATTGAAATTGTAAAAGTCGAACGTCATCGATGGTGTCGTGGTGTAGTTGGTTATCACGTCAGTCTAACACACTGAAGGTCTCCGGTTCGAATCCGGGCTACGCCATTTTTGCAATTTCATTTTTTGATGTTACTTCAAATATCGTTATATTGCACTTCTGAAATTCTTAACTAGGATATTGGTTAACATTTTACCCATAAATTTGTGGTGTAAAGAACTCGCGTAAGGATCTAAGCAAATAGTTCATTGAGAAATTTAATTTGTTAGATATTGTGAGGATGGCATGATAAAATAAAATAAAATATTATGAATCTTTTTTCAATGAAGACCATTCATTGTTCACTTCACACAAAACTGAGCTCAAAATGCTGACAAGTTAACTTGTTCATGTAAACATGGAGGAGTTTTAAAACAAAAAGCTTCTCAGAAAGAAGCATAGCTACACTCATTCAAGGTGTCAGTGATGGTGGTATCAGTGTCACTGCTACTAGGACTTTTCTCATTACACTTTATGAAAGGGGCACTTGTTGGGATTGACATCGAAAGATTTGTATTTGGAATTGTACAATAAGCTTTCTGAATGTTGCTTGAGGCTGAAGTGTGAGGCAACCTAGCAATGGTAACAGCAGAAGATGTGGCAGCCGGTTCATGGTTTGTGAAACGCTTTTTCGCACCTCTGTGCATGTGAGTGGCACAATACTTCTGACCGGGAAGAACAGCACTCTTGCAACGCCACTTCTTACCATCTGTTCTCCGGCACCTTCCGGGTTCAGGTTCTATGTTGTTTCTATCATTCAGGTATGAAGAGTTGCAACCAGAAACTGAAATGACAGCAGAAAAAAGTAACACAAAATTCTATCAGTTTTCTGATGAAAAGTTTAGCCTTAACAATAACAAACCAAAAAGAGTTGCAATTTTTGAAATAGTTACAGAAAGTACTAGTCTCAGCAATGAAATGTAATCTAGTTACGAGATGGGAAGGATTAAGTTTTCTGCATTATAATCAAATGCTTTAGGAGGAATAAACCGTCTTTTGTTTTTTATTTCAATGTTAATAATATATGTAAATGCAATCACTAGTATACTGCTTATAGCTTACATACTCTTTCTACTACATTTGTAGACAGAAAACAGTGCTCGCCTTTACTCCTACCAATGGGATGTGAATATCTGCAAATCTCTCAATGTGTCGTTTGCATAACTCAAGAACTAAATTGACATTAAGTTTGCATCTTCTCCCATCACACGATTCAAACGAGAAGTTACCAAGATCAAGACAGATATCCTCAAATAGTATAGCAATAGGCCACCAGGGCATGCAAAAAATAAGCAATTCCTGTGGAACACTTAAGGTATATATATATTGGGAACAACGTAATTAAATGCTTACTCAATAAACTTTTATTGCGCAAGGGATTTATACCACAAATTTGATCACGAAACTTATTGACATGCGCTGAAAACAACTTATTTTGATAGGGTATATGAAGAAGCTTACTGAAATAAGCTGAAAAGTGCTTATCGGAGCCATTAATTATTTTCACAAGCTCTCTGTAAGCCAAATGCGCCTTCAATTCTATAAAGGACCAGTATTTATGATAATGTGCTATGTGCATGCAAGTTAGGAGTGGGATTGGGAGAAGTCAATCAAGACAAATTGAGCACATAATCATTAAAGTGCACTTAAAAGACCACGTCAATGATGGCATACGAGATTCTGAAGTTTGAATTAAGCCCCACGAAATCTACATGGCAGCAAACAAGACAGAACAAACTTGCTAAGATGCTATTGATTCTCTTTTGTGTTTGTAGGGATTGGTAGGACCTTAGGAGACTAAAAAGAAACATTTGAACTATGTGAAGCTTCAGAACATATGATACACAAGACGACAGAGTCATGTGGCTGACCCCACTAAGTGGGAAAGGATTGATTGTGTTTAAGTTTGTTATTTCAGGTGGTGTGGTGAAGGATGGGAGATTTGTCTATAACCCTCTAGTCCTGTAGAATATATCGAAAAAGACAAATCATAGCAGCCCCACCAAAATTACCTTGAAGAACACTCCTTGGAGAGAAGCCTATTCCAGTAGACATTCCATTACTCTCACCAACAATGCTTCCTTTCCCTCCACGTTTAATACCAATGTTGCTGCCAATACTGCTCTTGGTCTGGTTATCTTTCTTGCACACATTCAAGCAACTTTTGTAATCTGAAGTAGCATTTGCAACGCTGCTGAAAGGGGCTACCTTAGGAGCAACTTTAGTGGCAAGAATGGAGCCAGGGGATGCCATAGAGGCTGAAGAAAAAGTTGCAAGGTAGTCAGCAGAACTTTCGATATTGTTCGGCCTATTATTAGCAGAAGGGCAATTGACAATACTGGGGCTCCTTGATGCAGTGCTGGAAGATGTGTCACCCAAAAGGTTTGGATTCGAAACTTCAACTTCTGTCTTTTTGGTATGTAACTTGGTAGAAGGTTTTGCACCCAAAGGAGAGTTGGCATGAGATGTTTCCACAGGCTTTCTTGAACGATTGCGACCTCTATGCATGTGCCTTTCACAGTACTTCTGATCAGGCACAACATGCTTACTACACCTCCATTTCTTACCATCAGTTCTTCTACACCTATGTGGTTCTGGATCCACCATATTCCCATAATCAAAACCAAGGTGACTGTATTCTGTAACAGAAAGAAATGAACCAAAAAGAAAAGAAAATACCATCATTATCTTACAGTTACATGAATAACAGACGCTTTTAGCATCAAAAGATTCGAAATTTGGCTACTTTTAACATACCAAAATCACAAAATGGAGCCTTACAATAATTAAATCCACTAGTAAATCCTCTAAGAACTTGCCCAACTATTGGAACCAAAAAAAAAAATTCAGCCAATAATTAAGTCCAAAAGAAACAGCTTATTCATTCCAAGACAGAATCAAACATGACACTGACTCCTCCTCTAATAAATAACACAATTTTAGGGGGAAAATGATTGTTCTAACTTGGCCACAAAATAAAAAATCAATAAAAAATACCAAATTTTTATTAAAAGTATAGCATTTAATGTTATTAAAAAAGTGGAACTTTCTATACATAAAATTGAAAAGGGCACTTGATCAGGGGTATAACAAACCTGACATATTGGTTGGGAATTGCACAAGGTGGTGATGAGATTGAGGAAGAGGAAGGTTAGAAACCAAGTGGTTGAAGATGAAAACTTGATGGTCAAGCTCAAGCCTCTGAGTTTCTGTGATCATGACATGGTTTATTGGTTGTGGTGCAGAATGAGCAGCAACCCCAAGATGAAGTTCAACACTTGAAGAAGAGTTCTCTTTCTCCTCATTGACCAAAACAACCCTCTTTCCCTCATCAACAACAACACCACCTTCCATCATGTGTCCCATGTCAATCTTCTTCTGGGGTCCACCTTCTAACCCTCAAAAAAGACACAACATAAGCCACAAAAACAACATGAGAACAAGAAGAAAAACCCAAAAAATAAAAAAGAGGAAAAGGGGTACTAATGAAGAAGGGTGTGATGGGCAAAAGAAGAGAGAGTGGAAGAGAAAGAAAAGAAACCAGAAGTGTTGTGTGAAGAGGGAACAATTCGAAGAGGCTTAGCTTCCATTGTCACATTCACATGAGCTTTTTTCTCCTTTTCTTAGTGGGTCTGTGTCTGATAGTGATGATCAAAGAAAAAATGCTTCCTTTCTTACTTTTCAGTATAAATAAAAGAATCTTAAAAGCTCGGCACAGAAGTGATTCTGCGGTTTTGAGGATTGAGGAAGGAAGTGAAGTAGTGAAGTGAGAGAAAGGGTAGAGAGAGAAAGGGACTAAAGCGGTGTCAGAGGGTACTGACAAAGAGCTTATTACGTTGCAAGGCTTTGCAGCAGTCACGTTCAGACAGGACAGGATCAACCTTACGTTATACTGCACTGTTCAACTTTGTTAGATGCGTGAGCACCACGCTCTTGTTACTGCTTTCTCATTTCCTCACTTGCCATGTTAGTTTTTAAAGACCATATTACTCTCTCATAAATTTTTTTAATTGTTCATTAAAATTTATTAAAATTTTAAAGATTTTAAAAATATATTAATTAAAAATAAAACTTACATAATTTTTATAAATTTTAATTAAAAATAAAAGATGAATTGTAAAGATGTGTCAGAGAGGGCTATTAACGTTACTTTTGTTTTTAAATATTACATTTTTATTTAATTAAAATATCATAACTAAAATATAAATTATTAAAAATTTTAATTATTATAATAATTATTTAAAAAGTTATACGTAGGATATTTTTTTTTTTTGTAAAAAATAAGTTTTTTAAATATGTTTAATTAAATGTGAGAAGATGTAATTTTTAGATTCCACTGAAACTTTTGTGCTGAATTTATAAAAATATATATTATATTGTTGGAAGATAATATCTTTAGGCATTTATCTTACATTTAAAATGTATTTTTAATTCAAGATAAATTTTAGTTAAGATTACTTTTTAAAATCAAATTATTATTGGAAAATTTGTCACAAATGCAATTTTAATTGTCCAAGATTTTAAAATCAAATTAATTTTGGCTAATTTTTTTATTTTAGTAAAATTGATTTTAGAATAATTAATTCTTAAAAATTTATTTTATATTTAGATATGATATATTAAAAAAGTGAACCTTCCTTTCGCTGAGTGTCTGTGTTCTAGAAAATAAAAAGTGCACCTTCTCTCTTTATGAATGAATGAAGATATTTTAAAGAATATATATCTATTATTCTTCTTACTTGTAATATTGGTTTCACTAATAGTTTTTATTAAAATTGTGGAATATATTTATTATGTTGTCAATTGCTTCGAAGTGGAATAATCCTAGAGTTTGGGTGGAATAAAATTAATTTAAATAAATTATTAGTCCTTATAATATTTTTTTATTCTAATTTTTAAGAATTTTTATGTAGTTTTAGTCCTTGACGAAGCACTAAAATCATGTGTTCATTGTTAAATTTATGAACTAAAAATTGAATAAAATTGTTATATAAGCTAAATAAATAAAAAAAGCATAATACTTTTATACACTAATAACTTATTGAAGCAATTAAAATTTCAATATCAAGGCATTTATTTGTTTCTCGTTTTGAGGGAAAGAAACAAAGTAGCTGAATTTAGGAATTAGATCTCAAATAATATTTATAGATCATCTCAAAGAATATATTCCTATTAATCTCGTTAAAGAAACATTAAGTTAATTGATTTTGTGTTGCCTCGTGAAATCTTAACTCCAAACTAAAATTGGGTAGAGCATAATTTGGATAATTTTTATATTGAGTAAAAAGTTTTACAATAAAATTTAGCATAAAAATGATTTTACTGTAAAAAATTAAATATAAATTGATTAATTTTCATTAATTTAAACTAATTTTACAAAAATATCATTATTCAAAATTAAATCTAAATTTAACACACTAAAATATTCTAAAGCATTATTTATTTTAGAAATAAAATCAATTATCCACAGTCCACGTCATGTAATATTTTAATATAAACTTTACGTTTAAAACTAATTTAAACATATATTTTAATTATTTTCAACAATTAATAATTAATTTTGCTACGCGCTTTGAGAAGGGTTTCCTTTGAGGTGTGCTGTGTGTGGCTCAACTCATGAGCTATCTTACTTCCATTGTAGGACCCACCTTTGCATGTTTCGCTACACTTGTAAAAAACACTCTCGCATTTTCAAACAAAAGAATATTAAATTACAAGAACTTTACCACAATGAACAATAGATAAATTGAAAAAATAAATAAAGTATGCAAATTTAATTGCATATTTGCAAACACATTTAAAATCATAAAATATGGGTCTAACACAAGAGTTAGAATTAATAACATTCAAGTCAATATAGATCTATAATTATTTAAATGTTTCAAGCATATATTAAATTTAAAATTCATATATTAATTTGAAAATTTTAATTATTAATATTTTTTTATTTTTTTACGAGACAAGTGTGTAATTTTTATATTTTTTTTATTTTAACTTTATGTTGTGTGTTTAGTATTTAAGATTGCTAATTATTTTTCTTTTTTCATTACCCAAAGCCCATTAGCACTTATCTATCCTCCCCAAGAGAAGCCCAATGGGCTACGACTACACACATTTGTCTATACCCACGTCTACTGACAAAAAGAAAAAAGGGAACACGTGTACACAATTGTGTTTCCTTTCCTTCTATTTTTATGTTGGAAAGGCATGTGATGAAGTTCCCAATTTTTCATTATAGACAAATCCAAGGAACATATATTTTTAAATATTATTATTATTATTATTAATAAAGTTTTATTTTGGTCACATTAATTAAAAATAAAGTATTTTATTGAACAGAACTTATACATTCGTTCTGATTAAATGCCCAGAATTAGGAATTTTTTAAAATCAATTCAAAATTATATTAGGTTTTTATGTTCTAAGTAAGTGTTTGTTTTAAAATCAATTCGTTCTGGTTTTGAGTTTTATATTCAAAAATAAATCAAAATAACAATATGCTAAATTTATATTAGGTTTTTATTCATCTTTAAATAAATTCTAACTTAAAAGTTGTTGTGTTGTTGAATTTATTATGAAAATATGTTTATGCTTTTAGAAAAATAAATGCTAATATGTTGTATTTTAGATAAAATTGTAATTTGTGAAGATATTTAATATTCTAAATTAAAAATTTTTAAAATTGTTATTTAAATTGAAAAAATTGTGGCGAGATAAAATATGTATGCTTTTAAAAAAAAATAGATTGTAATTTGTCTTTTAAGTAAAAAAAAAAAATGTCACCAAAGGATTTGTATTTTGTTCGGGATTTTAAATAATATTTTTACTTTAAAAAGTAAGCGTTATCCGTTAAATAAGAGTAATAATCAACATAAACTATTTAAAAATTAAGTGTTTAAAAGCAATAATTTATTATTTTAAAAATTATTTATTTTATATTTGTATTTTGTAATATAATATTTTTTTAATAAAAATTACTATTTTTAAATGCTTAACTTAATTCTAAAAACTGAAATTAAGAAAATTATAATTAATAGTATTTTCAATTTTTACACGAATAAATCAACAACAGAAAAACATTATTTTTCCTTCCGGACAAATAAATTGCTATTTTCCCTGTTTTGCATTCGAGAACTCTATAATACTCTCTTCCCTCACTCAACTTCTTCCGTCTCGTGCAACGCCACGACGATTCTGTTTACAATTAGCTCAGAAAAACAAAAACGTTGTTTTATTTCTCATGTTACACTCTCAACTACCTTTCAATACCCTCCATAAATTGCCGTCACAATTATTATTCAAAATTGGCTCCAAACTGTTCCACACACTCAAACATGAACACCACCTGTTTGACAATATTTCCCACCAAAATGTTGCCTCAGTTAACCGTTCCATGCTTACCCACATGGACAAAAACCTTCCTTTTCAAGCTCTTGCCACATTCACGAAGTATTTTCCTGAACATGTTGACGAGGTTACTGTTGCCTTGTCCCTCAAGGCATGTCAAGGAGAGTTAAAACTGGGGTGTCAGATCCATGGATTGGTCGTGTCTAGCGGGTTTGTTTCACGTGTCACGGTATCAAATTCTCTCATGAAAATGTACTGCAAGTCCGGCAATTTTGGAAAGGCTAAGCATGTTTTTGAGAATTTGAGTCATCCTGATATAGTTTCTTGGAATACCATTCTTTCAGGGTTTGGGAAGAGTGTGGATGCGTTGTGCTTTGCGCGTTCTATGCGTTCTTGTGGGATAGAATTTGATCCGGTAACATACACTACTGCTCTTTCCTTTTGTTGGGATGATCTTGGGTTTTCCTTTGGGTGGCAATTGCATTCCCTTGTTATTAAATGTGGATTTGGTTGTGAAGTTTTTATAGGAAATGCACTTATAACCATGTATTCAAGGTGGGGGACATTAAATGAGGCTAGGAAAGTGTTTGATGGAATGCCCAGAAGAGATCTGGTTTCGTGGGGTGCAATGCTATCGGGCTATGCTCAAGAGGGGGAATGTTATGGGTTGGAAGCGGTTTCATTGTTTGTTGACATGGTAAGAAAAGGTATGTTGCTTGACCATGTTTCACTTACAGCTGCAGTTTCAGCTTGTGGTCATATGAAAAATTTAGAGCTAGGGAGGCAGATACATGGTTTGACCCAAAAAGTGGGATATGGAACACATGTTTCAGTTTGCAATGTTTTGATGTCAACTTATTCAAAATGTGAGGTCTGTAGAGATGCAAAAGCTGTCTTTCAGCACATTATTAATAGAAATGTAATCTCTTGGACAACAATGATTTCTATTGATGAAGAAGATGCAGTGTCTCTCTTCAATTCTATGAGAATTGATGGTGTGTATCCAAATAATGTTACATTTATAGGATTAATACATGCTATAACAATAAGGAATCTAGTGACAGAAGGTCTAATGATTCATGGGTTATGCATAAAAAGCTGCTTTTTGTCAGAACAAAATGTTTCCAATAGTCTTATCACTATGTATGCCAAATTTGAGTCCATTCAAGAATCAAAGAAGATTTTTGACGAGCTTAACTGTCGAGAAACAATATCATGGAATGCATTAATTTCAGGGTATGCTCAAAATGACTTGTGTAAAGAGGCTTTCCTCACATTTTTGTCTGCAGTAAAGGAGATAAAGCCCAACCAATACACATTCGGTAGTGTCTTAAATGCTATTGCTGCTGCTGAGGATATATCTTTGAAGCATGGGCAACGTTGTCATTCTCACTTGCTCAAACTTGGTTTAAGCACTGACCCAATTGTTTCAGGGGCTCTGCTTGACATGTATGGCAAGCGTGGAAGTATAAGCGAGTCTCAAAGAGTGTTCAACGAGACACCTGAAAGAACCAAGTTTGCTTGGACAGCAATTATATCTGCCTATGCCCGGCATGGAGACTATGAGTCAGTGATGAGTTTGTTTACAGAAATGGAGAGGGAAGGAAGCAGTCCTGACTCCATCACTTTCCTGTCTGTTTTAGCAGCATGTTGTAGAAAGGGAATGGTTGACACAGGCCAAAGAATCTTTGACTCTATGGTGAAAAAACATTCGATTGAGCCAACTCCTGAGCATTATTCTATTATGGTGGACATGATGGGCCGTGCTGGACAACTAGATGAAGCAGAAGAGTTGATGCAACAGATTCCAGGAGGTCCTGGATTGTCTGTGTTGCAAAGTTTGCTTGGCTCTTGTAGATTACATGGGAATGTGGAGATGGCTGAGAAGGTTGTTGATAGTTTGATAGAAATGGACCCTGCTAGTTCAGGTCCATATGTGTTAATGGCAAACTTATATGCTGAGAAAGGGAGGTGGGAGAAAGTTGCTGAAGTGAGAAAAGGGATGAGAGGAAAGGGTGTAAAGAAGGAAGTGGGATTTAGTTGGGTGGATGTAGCTAATGTTGACTCCTTGTATTTGCATAGTTTCTCCTCTGGGGATAAATCACACCCAGAGTCTGAGAATATTTGCAGAATGGCAGAGTTTTTGGGATTGCAAATGAGATTTTTGAAAGAGAGAAGAGAGAGGGAAAGAGAGTTGTATCATGAGTAACAAATCCAAAAATAAATGAGGAATTTGAACTGATGAGCTTTAGATAACTAACTTTATCTTGTTCATTAAAAAAGAACTTGATTTTTCTTCATTTACATGTTGAACTGTGCTCCATTTCCATGTTGAAAAGGTATTCCCTGGAACTTTAAGTTTGGCTTTGTCATTTTGCCGTAATTTATTTTCTTGTAAAACAATAGAAAATGATGTGAAACGTTTCTGATTAGATAAGCATAATTGGGTGTGTTATGATCTGAATCGCTGTGATTGTGGAGTTCGAAAAAATAAGGGATTTCTATTATTGCCTTTCATATGTTTGTTCAAATGTGTCTTGGAAAAATTAGGGATTTTCATTGTTACCCTTCATACAAAGAACAATGACTGAATGAGTAAATAATGGCTGAAGAAATATCTGTAAATTGTTCGATAAAGTTCTTAGTGTAATTGATATGTAGTTTCTGTGAGCCATAACATTGCCTTGTTCATAGTAACAATTTTGATTTTAATCTTAATTTGTATGAGTAAAAAATAAAGTAATACTGTAATAGTTGTATCTCCCCAAGAGAGATTCGTTTTTATGATATGGTTTTTTGCGTGTCTTCCTTGATGAGCCATACCCACAACTGAAGTAAATTACTAACATGACCTTTCCTATGGATTTCCTGGCTGACAATAACACAGTGGTGTACTTCGATTACAGTTTCTCATAAAAACCATTGCAGGTAATCTCAACTTTAAGAGAGACCAAAAGTAAGATTGAAAGAATTGAGGATGCAACTAATTTTATCAGTAACAAGCTTTTAGTGGATGACACTACAGCTTCAGCTACAACTTTTCTGCCTGCAGATTCTTTTACTTTGACTTCTCATTATGCATTGACTTCCAGCACATTAAATCTTCTGGCAAGTTGTCGTGTACAAGATGCTAACTTATCAATTCATCTGACCAAAGGGAAATGAAAATTCCCCAGAATTCTTATTTCACGGTCTAGCAACACTGCTCATGATTCAGGTAAATCACATACTGAATTTTAGTAACCGTTTTAGAGAGTGAATCTATGATATTGTTTTAACAAATTTAGTTTGCCATTATTTTGTATAACAAGATGTATGTACTTGTGTATAAACTGATTTTACCTGCTACTACTTTGGTTTAGAAAACATGAACCTATGCTGAAGAGTAGTAAGTGTATCAAATTGTCAATCACATAACGTGATAGAACGAACATTAACGTCAAAAAAGAGTGTGACATTACTATAATTTTATGTGCACGATCTATTTGTGATTAATCATATGATGCAATAGAACAAGCATTTTAAAGGTCAAAGAACCATTTTTATACCAAAAAGTGGCATTGTGACAATGTCATATTTTACTTTTCTCTCTAACAGATATGTTATCACGGATCAACTATCCCAAAACTTCAGGGATGCCTTTGGAGAAGACTGGAAAGAGACATCAAAGGGGTGTTAATAATGCAAATATTGTTGTCTCAAGTTTTTTTTAACTTTTTCTTAACATAGCAGGTTCAGTCACTTTGAGACACAGTGAGTCATTGACTCAATTGTTCACTGCAAAAAGAAATATAATTGTTCAAAACTGGTCAAGACTGAGACACGGTGAGCTGTTGTTTTGGCTTTGATTACTCTAGGGAACCCTCCACTTTTTTTGTCAATTTTTCTACTGATCTTTCAACTTATTTTCCCCCCCTTATTTTCCTCCGATCTTCAGTTGATTTTTATGCTTATCTATAATAGGTTTTTTCCGTAAAGTGGTTACAATTCCATGTTTCTAACTCTTCCCAAAATGGTTTAGAGTCATATTGTATGAAGCTATTTAGCCTTCGTTACTGACTTGATTGTTGTTCTACTTGTTGCAGAGAATTGGCATGTAAATACGTGACTTTTGAAGCAAACAAACTTTTAAAACAAATTACCCACCAAGTGTCCCCTTCAATCCCAGTCGTGAATGTTAGTAATGCCAGAGAGGCACATTGCATGGTGTTTCTAGAGAAGTTCTAATTCTCAGTGCTACTCTGGCAGGTGGCAGTATCTCCAACCCCCATCACAACATAAAGAAAGTAAACAGAAACCAAATGTAGCTTCTACTGGTTCTGCATTGTGAGGTCCATGGTTTTGAAATGGAATTAAGTATTTTTCTTTATATGAAAAATATTTTTTCAACGATTTTTATGTATCAGGTGTATGTGTTAACGAGTTAAAAAATAGGAAGGCTTTTAAGTAATGAATATATTTTGTGATTCAGATGTAAATAAAATTTTTATTTTAACAAGTTTTTTTACACTTTATGTCTTTATCTTGTACACTTTACAAATAAGGTTGGGAGAGAGGTAACTTTTTTACAGTATTCTTTTTGGTCTAAATCAAGTATTTTATGTATAAGTAGTGGTATTTTTAAGTCAGATATGATTATTATAAGCAGTAAAATTATTCTTATTATTTAATATAAATGTATTTTTTGGGATTCAAATTTAAAATCACATATTAACTTAAGTAAATAATTTTGTTTTGTATTCTTTCTCTTTTTCAGACAAAATGAAATTCTATTATGAAATATATATAGTTTGTTTGGAAACATGTTGAAAAAGTTGCAAACATTGATTCAATACACATAAAGTTATAACTAGTAGTAAGCAAACATTGAATCGAAACTCTCTTTTAGATCTTAAAAGTCATTTAATGAGTTAGATAGTAATTTTAGTAGTTAACAAAATTTTAACTTTTAATTTATCGAATTCATTTTATTTTTTAATATTAAATTGTTGATTGTATACCTTTTTGTTATTTGTTAAATTTTTACTTGTTACCGACACAGTAATATATCTAGTATTTAAGAAAAAATATTTTTTTCTACCTCTTATATAACTACATAAGCAAAGAAAAAAAAAAGTATATTTTCACGGTACCTTCTCTTATATTAAACAATCTAAAAATTGTCTTTTTCTAACCACTTATCTTTCTATCCAAAATTTGCTTATTTATTATATTTTTTAAACAAGCAAAGCATATACCCCCGAAAGTCCGAAACCCAAATTACAAAAAGCGAAGAATCTTGCAGAAGCAGAAGCAGCGACCCTTCGTTCATTCATATATTTCTTTCACACTTGAAAGCTTCCTATTCTCAGAACTCACTCTTTCGGAATTATAAAAACCCGAATCGAAATCAAATGGTTAGTAGCATCACTCGCTCCGCCATGCGCGTGCACACGTTAATCTCTTCTCTTCTAAGTTCTAACTCACCTGATTTGGTTTGGTTTGGTTTGGTTTTTCAGTCGGTGACGCTGCACACTAACCTAGGAGACATCAAATGTGAAATCTTCTGCGACGAGGTCCCCAAAACCTCTGAGGTAACCCTTTCTATGCTTCATTTTGCTTTCTTCTATTCTAAATAATCAAATTTAATTGAGCAATTAACTTTAACTAATTTATTACTTCCCTCTTCCGTGCTAAATTATTTGCCAAAATATTCAAATTAGTCTGATGTTCATTTTGAAATGTTTGCACGCAAATTCACTGTAGTTTTAAACTTAAGCGTGCGTTTACTTTTTTAATTTATTTTGGGAGAAAATTTGCTTTCTTTTTTATTTTATTTTGTTTTTCCCAAAAGTATGGATTTTTTTTTTATAAATAACTCAAAATATTAAGCTTTTGTTACCCTAATTCGTAAAAATGATGATTGTGAACGAAATCACTGCATCGCTTGTGTAATTTGTTGCCTTAATGCTGGTTAGATGTTATCCTTCTTGTTATCTGAGGTTTCCATTGGTTGTTCTACACTGAGGGGTGCTGCCTAAATTTTAATAGGGGTGAAGCGTTCGTTTGGTGTGGATTAATTTATTTTTGGGAGAATGATTGCGTTATTTTTTTGTTTCATATTTTCCAAAATTATGAAGTGTTAAAAAAAAAACTTGAAAATAATATGCTTTCTTAATTGTGATTATTGATTACTGTGGACAAAATCACTGCATCGCTTGCGCAATTAATCCTTGTAAATGTAAACCTTGTCTGAGGTTTTTTCCATTGGTATTTTTATGTTGGAAATTGCTGTAACTAACAATTCAATTCTTGTGTATAAATGTGTTTCAATCCAGAATTTTTTAGCTCTATGTGCAAGTGGTTACTATGATGGGACTATATTTCACCGCAACATTAAAGGTTTTATGATTCAAGGTGGAGACCCAACTGGAACTGGCAAAGGAGGGACCAGTATATGGGGCAAGAAATTTAATGATGAGATAAGAGAATCTCTGAAGGTGAGTCCATTCACTATGAAGCCACTTCTTTGAGTAGCATTTTGTAAATGTTGTTAGAAGAGGACAAAAGTCACAGAACAATGCATACAAGTTCTATTTAATGTTTGGTGCATTTTAAAAGTTAAATAGAACAGGCATAGGAATAGGATAAACCGATAAAAAGTAGTACATTTTGGTTCCACCAAATGAGATGAAATCAATGAGAACAAAATTTAACCATTTGAAGGGTTCAATGCTACCTTAGGCACATAACTGTACACTTGTTTTGACTTTGATCAGATGCCAACATTAAAACTATAAAGTTTAAGTGGAGAAATGCCATACAGTTTCCATTTTATAAATACCTCTTTTGTTAGCATGCCTTAAAATCAAGACTACAATTGAAATATATGCCCAATTTGGATAGACTACTCTCCAAGCACTTACAGGGGAAGAAATGTATTTGCATGCAAAATGGATTTTCAAGTTACTCCCAGGCTATTTCATCATATTTGAGAGTTGGAGTACTCTAAGCAATTTTTTTAGCTGAAATAAGAGTTATTTCTTGCATTTTTAACTTTGTAAGTTTGAGGAAGTTCACAATATTTAACAACTATTAGTTTCTTCATAACCTAATTGTTTTCCCTTAGCATGTTAACTTTTTATATCTATATATATGTATATTTGCATCTTGATTGGCCAACTCTTTTCTGGTCAATGAAAGTCAATTTTACTATATTGAAATATAATTATGTTACAGTTGTTACATTCTAGCATCTCAATGGAATAATCATGTGGGTTTATGGTGATACTGGTGAGCTGGGGGCTGGCATGAAAATAGTGTGTCATTTCATTTTGATGTGCTTTAGCCTTTATGGAGCAATAATTATAGATTTTTTCTTCATCTGATCATTGTGGTAGTTAATTGGTTGTTTTTTTTTTTATGTTCCAGCACAATGCTAGGGGAATATTGTCAATGGCTAACAGTGGTCCAAATACTAATGGAAGTCAGTTCTTCATAGCCTATGCAAAGCAGCCGCATTTGAATGGACTATATACTGTATTTGGCAGAGTAATACATGGATTTGAAGTTCTTGATCTCATGGAAAAGGTATCATATTCTTCTGCCATTGTTAAAAATGCTTTAGAAACAAGGTTAAAACTAGGTGAGCCTGGCTTGGTTTGGCCACTCAACTAAGGTCTACATTTTTTTTTTCAGTGTCATATTTGTGCAGCCGGTCTAGAGAATGTGTGTGTGTGTGAATCATAGAAAAAAAATTATAATTTTGTTTTTGTGCAGACTCAAACAGGTGCAGGGGATCGACCACTTGCAGAGATAAGGCTCAATCGTGTAACAATCCATGCTAATCCGCTTGCTGGTTAGACTTGTCTCAACAGTTGTTTACGTAAAATTTTAAGTTCCTTTTCCAAACTTTGATCTAACGTAAAGGTGAGGAAAAAGGGAATTCTTACATACTGATTTGAGCGCTTGTACTTCTGATTCAGAGAAGCATTTTGATATAGTAGTAAAATGTACATTGAATTAACATATTTGTGAGATATGCATGGAACACGATAGGTACATTTTAATGGATACTGATTTGAGCACTAGTACTTCTGATTCAGAGAAGCATTTTGATATAGTAGTAAAATGTATGTTGAATTAACATATTTGTGAGATCTGCATGGAACACGATAGGTACATTTTAATGGATTAGTTTAAGTGCTGAAATTTTAATGTCAGAGATCTTGGTATCTTGCCATCTTGGCGTCAGTGTTGTGATTTTCTTAAAGGCCAAGCATAGTATCCCGGCGTGGTATGCCACAAGTAACAGCAGCTAGTTGATGGATAAGCCTGATGAGCTTTCATGTGGAACAGTACATAATCAATGATCTGAAATGAAGCAAAAGGTATATCCTAGAAGAGGAGTCCAAGGAACATGCTACTACAAAAGTATCAAAATGAATCATCAGGTTAAGAGTGAGAATCATTAATTTTGGGATTCACATATTTTTGTGAATTTTAATAAATTTTAACTAAACTAGGAGATTGATAGAGAATATGTTGGTATTTCTTTTTACTAGTATATGTTCAGCCAAGCATGTATAGTGTATAGAAGAAAGGTTCGGTATTTTGAGTTGTACACGTTCCAGTTGGCCAAATCGAACTTGGGATGGGGCGGGTAGTGTTGTTTATGACTAATATACATTATAATACGTGCGTTAATTTTTGCCAAAAAATAAAAATAAAAATTGGTAGGATCTTGGTTTATAATAAGTAAATGGGGTGCAAGAATTTAACCTATCTATCGTGATTTTCATTTAATGCATTAACCATTCTCCAATTAATATTCATTTTGGTTCTTGGAAATAATTTTTGACTTCGGTTCTCTAAAGCGTTTCCCTTCATAAAATAGTTGAGGGGTGAAATTATTTATAAGTTGACTTCCTAGTGGGATAAATTTGTGAGTTAATTCTTTCAAAATGTTAAAAGAAACAAAATATTACTTTCAGGGATCACATTGTGTGCCAATACTTTCACCTAGTGAATTCATTGTATTTGCTTGCCGAAGTAAATCATATATGATATATATTGGCTGATACACACATTGCACTTGGAGCAAAACGAAAAGCATTATATTGTTAAGCTGAAAACATATTATATTATTATTTAGGCTTAATTGTAATTTTTTTTGTCCTTATAACGTATGTACAATTTTGATCTTTCTAATTTTTATTATTTAGTCATTCTAGTTCTTTAAATATTTAAATTAAGTCTTTCATTCCAAAATTTTATTCAATAATTAGTAAAAATATAATTAAAGTATGACATTTTATTTATTGATATAAATAAATAAATATGAAAATTATTTAAATAAAAATACAAAATAAAATGTATAAAATATAATAAAGTTTTAATTTTGAAGTGAATGATTTAATTTGATCAGTTTAAACAAAGAAAGACTAGGAGAATGAGAACGAAGGTGTTTTCCACCCTTAGTTTTGGTTCTTCAATATGGGAGGAATTTATTGGGGAAAGAAAAGTGAACTTCAGAATTTTAAAGTGTATTGACAAATTTGTCGTGTTTATGTTTTAATTCAGGGGGTACAACGGTATACTTTGTCTCATTCTCTCTCTCTCTCTATTTCTTTCTTTTCTTATATTGGTCATTAGTTTAGGTTATATATACTTAATTTTTTAAGTAAACTTTAGGCTTGAGTCTTATCAAAATAAGTTATTTATGTAATTAATTTCAATACTTTTACAATTAAAATTTAATAAATAAGTATTGAATTAAATTATTTATTTAAATGTCCTTTTGGTTGAACTAGAATTGCATTTGATAAATGAAAACTTATTTAGTTATAGATGAGTCTAAAGAAGTTTGATGCACAAATTTGTTAATATATGATTAAATGATATTATGCAGAAGTTTTGCATTAAAAAGAAAACGAAATACGATAATTGAATCCTTAATTTCAATTTGACGGTTCACAGTATAAGATGTGTGTCCCTGCCCTCTATGTAATAGAGTACAATTCTTACGAATTAATAATAACTTATGAGAGTTTGTGCCCAAGTTATTTGGTTTGCATTAGCCAAGATTGAGTTGTCGTCCATTATCTTAAGGGTAAATTCCTCACATTCAACTTATACATTTTAGAAAAATTGATTTTCCAATTGTTGATCCAACATTCTACATTAAGTAGGCAAAGTATTAAGAAAATGAACAAAATTTAGGTGTAACTTCTTAAATATATTAAGTATTTTTTAATGATAATGAAAGTATTACTCTGATAATACGCAATAATGATATATATATGTAATTATTTTTTTTCACTAAAGTAAAACTATATTTTCTATTAAAAAATAATAAAAGCACTTAATTAACTGTATTTAAGTTTTGTTATTAAAACATATTTATATATACAGTAAAGTAACAAAACAAATAAACCCACTTTTAACTAAATAAAGGGTTTTTTTTATGCTCAAAGGGTGTTTATAGTTAATGCAATGGATGAAAGAATAATTAATTAGTTGATATCAAGCTATATGACATTGCTTGGGAAAAAATAACTATCCGTATGATTACACATTCTCACTGTGTCAAAATGCAAGCAATTATGGTCATTGTTTTACAAATTGTAACAGAAATAAGTCTCAATGAGCCCATACAAGCAAGGAATAGCTTTTGTCTAGTTGCCTATGATGATTTCAAATGTAGTGTGTGTGGCCAGAAAATCCCTAAAGTCAAAGGTTTGTGTGGACTGTAAAGCTATTGTAAAGGTTTAGTTAGATGGGAAATAGAGGCAGAAAGCTGAAATAGGATCAGACTAAACGTGGCTCTGTAAATCTTATGTCAAAGAACCATTGACATTTAATTTGGAAATGTGGTCTTGCTTTGTTGAATTTGAAAATTAAAATAAATTTTCTTAAATGTAGTTAATGGGTTAGATACCATAAGGAACAGACATTTTTTTTTCTTCTCTTGTCACGATTTTGGACTTATTTGCTTAAAAGTTGAAAATTAATTTTTGCACTTTTTAATTAAAAAAGCATGTTTTAATAAATATGTGTGGTTTAAATTATGTGCATATCTTAATCATCTTTTAAGTATAATTTAAAATTAATTTCATCAAAATTAATTCTCTAAACATTATAGCAATGAACTCTGTCATTACCACCAATTTCTGTTATCACAGTCTACTATTAATTTATTATCATTGCAATCTTTGAATTCATATATTTTCTTTAATTATATTTAAATGACTAAAATCGTTATTTACCTGTGCACATTAGGAAGAGGCATATGTCAAAGTAGAATTTAATTATAATTTTTTACAACTAATATACATCGGGCCTATATTAATTAAACCAGCCGTATTATTATTATCATCTTAATTTATTCTATTCTCTTAGTGCATAGTTTAATTTAATTAACCGTAACTCTTGTATTAAATTTATATTTACAATTTTTTTCATATAAATTTAAACACACACTATATTATCTTATATAGTGTATCAACCCATTTTAAAATATTGACTAAGCACATCGATCTAGCCTTTAGTCCGACAAGCGAAAGGCAAAGATGGAGTATAAACAAAGACTTTCTAATCAGCTAACACCAATGTTACTATACATTACAGGTATTATCAGAACAATAGTATGTGTAATATTCTAATTATTCACCAGCCTCTAATTATACATTACAAGTTTTTTAATGTTAATTGAAAAAATTTTATTTTTAGCAAAGAAATTTATTTAGCTAGCTAGCTAGTATATCTAAGACATATATGTAACTATATTAATGTCATGTTAAAGTTATTCCTCAGATTGAAATGATTTTTTTTAAAGTGAGTAAACTTGTAAAGTGGTTTATAAATATAAATCACTTTTTCATTTTACACATTTTTTCTTATTTTAAAAGAGGTAAGTCCATCTCAAACTGTGTACTACATTAACTTGAACGTATGTGTCAGGTAAATACTCAAGTGTTTCCTTCGATTACTGTTCACAAAAGAAAAATGCCATATATGTTCAGAGATCATGGTTCTACAAAAGAAATAAGCAAGCTAGAATTCACTCCTACATTCAATAATTGGTAGACAAACTAATCATCCTCTGAGAAGAGAGAAGGAACATCAAGTACCTCTCAATTTATTACTGAAGGGCTATTAATTTCAAGTTATTCAGCTTCTCTTCCAACTATAAGTTTGGGAATGTTCGTTAATTTATATGCATGTATTCAATTCATTTCTGTAGTTCTTTTGAATGTGTGACAATGAATGCTTTAATAATTAAGTTTTACAATAATGATTCTGAGAAATTAATACAATAACTATTCAATTTTGTTAATATGAGTCTTTAAATCTGAATTTAACCATGTAAAAACAGTGAATCTTCTTTTAGTATTAAAAACATAATATCATTATTTTTCATATTTTCAAAGAAATAAATAATATTATAGTAAAAATTATAACGTCTTAATTTCTTAATTATGTTCCAGTACTATATACTGCATGAGATTCCAGTCTCACTATCTGTTTGGTACGAATTCATAGAGAGCTATAATTGCATTTGTTTAAACAATGTCATGATGATATTGCACAGTTGGTAGAGGATGAAAACATATAGTGAAGAACAGCAAGGTTCGAATGGAATTTCTACAAATGCTCTCATTTCAAATTTTCTTCTTCTATACGTACATCCATTACCACCTTTCCTATTGCATTAGGGGTCCATCTATGAGTTTCACTGAATGCTCCATTTTCCAAACAGATAGTGTGGGCACCATGTCTTACTCCAAAATAAAATAAAATCAAGTAAAAATGCCATGATGGTGATGTTAATAGACAAAAAAAGTTAAGTGATGATGATGATGAGGATGTGTACCAATTTCTAAAGCAATCAATGGCAATGGATAATTGAATGGCACAGAAAGAAATCATAAATTTTCTTATTTGAAATGAAGGGAAATTGTGATGTTGAGGTGGACCACAAGAGTGATGCTGAAAGGTGCATGAGTTTGCAGTCAATACATTGATAGTGCATGCAAAACTACCGCATGCCCTCATCTTAATTATATCTTCAGATTATTGTTTGTTGACATGCATTCCCATCCACCATGTATATCATGCTACAAGAAGAAAAAAAAATATAATTTTGATGTATTGTAAGTGTAATTTTTATTTTTTTTTGTTATTCCTATCAATTAATTAAAATAATTTTATATAATTTTAAAAATAATTATTATAAATTTTGATGGTCTTCGGTTAGATTATTGTTTTCAAAATGTTTTTAGTATCAGTGTATTTTGATTAAATTTAAGAATTTTTGCAAGCAGGTTTAAATTCATGAAATGAGTGAATAAGAATGTATTTTTACTCCTTAATTAATTTTAGTGTGATAGAATCAGTATGTTTTAAATTAAATTAACTACACTCTTCTTTATTAACTTCAAAAATAAAATTGAAACAAATTCAAATCCTACAAGCAAGTAATATTAAATTTGAAAGTCATAAATTCAACCGATATTGAGAGAAACTAAAGACAGTGTGAAGGGATATTTTGGAGGATTCGAAAAAAAATATAATTAAATTTATTTTAATTAAATACATCTTCAAATTCTACACTTCTATGTACGTGTATATGCAA